CAGGCACACACCCTCCCCTTCAATTCACACTCCCTTTCGAGCTGCTTTCACCACTTCGGCCTTAGCTGTGGGTCCCCCCTATCTGACCTGCAGACTCAGGTTGGGACATTGCAGCCCGGGAACTACAAAGCCGAGGTGACCCCGATGACTGGGGCTGATCATCGCCCCCAGAGCCCTGGATTCTGGCTGGCAAGGCAGGAGCCTGGAGCCCGGGAGACTGCAGGGGGCACTGTCACTGTCTCTCTAGTCTGGTAACTTAACTCTCCTATCAGGACAGTTTCAAACCCCCTGCGCCCTGTTAGAGCCTCTCTGAGCCTCTGTTCCCGGTGATAATGGCCCTGCCCGGAGGGGCCTGGTGCTGGGAGGTGCAGGGCCCATAGCTGAGAGGAAACAATGCCAGGTGCCGCCAGACCTGCACTGACCGCACCTCACCTCTGCTTCCTGCCCGGCCACCTGTGGCCGCAGGAGTCACCCTTCAACGATACAGGCTGCGCTGAGCGTGTGACCTCTGCCCACTCCCCAACTGTAACGACGGCTCTGTTCCCACCCACGCCTGCGCGTCTGCTGTCCGGACAATGTTATTCTGCCCGTCAGTGTGTTGGACAGGCTCCCCCTCCGTGTCCTCGGTGACCTCTCAGGGACAACGGGACCATCTGCCACAGAACTTTCACGACTGCTTTCTGATCAGAACCTAGACTGGTGGCAGCGGGCCTCCATCTCCCTGGGCCACGCTGGGGACCCTTCTCAAGCTGGTTTTGGATACGCTTGGACATGAGACAACATTTCCTGGCATGGTTCTAGAAAAGGCTGGGCAGCCCTGTGGGTAAGAGGAAGGTAGGTCAGAACAGGCCAGTCCTGGGGACTGTCTCTCCCAGCTGTGGGACCACTGGGTGACAGGCTTGAGGCAGGGAAGTGGCTGAGCGGTCGAAGTGCTTAGTCACAAGTACTGGCCCCTCGCGAGCTCTGAGCATCTCTGAGAGACAGGCAGAGCCAGCGCGTCAGGATTCCCGTGTCAGAGATAAAGAGACCGAGGGCCAGAGAGGTTCAGGCCCAGGAAACGGCGAACCAGAGCAGGAATTCGGCCCCTTCACAGCCCCATCCCAGGACTTGTGGTCCTAATGGCCTGTTTCTTTTGTAAGAGCCTTTGTGTGAAGCCTCCCCCGCCACGTGGGATTCATCCCGGCCGCTCCGTGCTGAGCTTTATTACGTCCCTAGGTCTGATCTGTGGATAAACTGGATTGCTGGGCCTTGGTCCTGTTGCTTTGTTCACGTTTTCTGACCCGGGAGTAAATAGGAAGGAGTGTTTTTGGTTTTCCTTGAATTCACTGTCATCTGGGTGCTGGAACCTGAGAAAATTTGGCTTTTATGCATCCCAGGGGTTTGGAGGAGTTTGAATTCTGATGTGGGGGGCATGCATTTCTGCAAAGACAAGATTCCAATAAGTTTTGCTTTCCAGCAGGCAGACCATTCCTTCCTCTGTAAAGCACAGGCAAGTGAGTCACCTCCGAGCCCGGCAGGTAAATGACAGGCCGAATGGCTGCCAGAGCCTGGGGAGTGGCGACCCGTGGCCTGGGGAGCCGCGCCAGCCTCTGCCGGGCCCAAGTCACAGTGGCCACGCGTGATGCGAGGCAGGTGTCCGCAGAGAAGCCACAGCCCAAACTTCCAGGGGAAACTTTCCCATTTTTAAATGTTAACAGCGAACCCCGAAATATTTAGGAGACTGTGCAGGCCACACAAACACTGGTGCCTCTCAGACCCCAGGGTTAAGAGACATCGAGAGAACCAAATGGGGAGTTTTCAGTGGCCAAGGCCATGAGAAAACACAACTGGAAACTGCGTTCTCCTCGGAAATCGTCATTAGAAAATAAGACATGAGAAAATTTCATTCGACATTTCACAGTTTAGGGGAGAAGCCCTCTAGAGGACCTACTGTTTGGGTCTCACGTGTGAACAACAGTGCTCACCCAGTTCCCAGTAAACGGGCACCCGTCAAGCATCAGGCGAACAGGTACAAGGCAGGTTAAATGGCAAAGATCCTGTGACTCATTCCAATGCTGCCCAACCCTGTGTTGTATCCCCAGGGGCAAGGCCTGGCTGTGGGAGATGCTGTCCTTTCTCCCAGCTGTGGCCCTCCCTCTGTGCCCCTCACCCAAGTGTATCACAACAATGAGAGTGCTGTTTGCCCACAAGCCCCGGCTGTGTGGCTTGGCCAAGGCTCCCACTGGTTTATGAGGCTTTTGTGACAACCGGGTGACCAAACCCTTGCGGGATGCTGGAGCGCAGCTGGCATGCCTCACGGGACGGCAGGCTGGCATCCGGGCACCCCGCTTTGTGCTCTGGGGGGGACATTCATTCCCTTTCAAATTACACACCATGTGGGGTCACCGGCAGGTGCGGAGTTTGGAAAGAAAGTGAGTTTGCCTGGTCACTCAGGGACCTACCTCATCGAAACAAAGCCCACAGGGACAGCGGAGTTCCCGCCTCGCGTCCCCGCACAGCTGGGGCGGGATGGAAGTCGGGTGCCGGACTCACCTTGGACCAGTCCCCGGTTCTCCACTCGTAGCAGCCAGAGTAGTCCTCGCACGCCTCCTCGGCCTTGGGCCTGGTGGACGCGTCGCATTTCCCTTGGGAGTTGGTGCAGGTCACGGTCCGCTTCTGCGTCCCTTTGCCACAGCTGGCGGAACACTGCAAAACACAACCCGGATACTGAATCCGGTGCCGCTCAGCTCAAGGCCTTCAACCCCTAGTGAGTCCCCACCCAGTGCCAGACCCAGGGGAGTGAAGTTTAGGTCCAAAGACCAATGCCGCAGATGAGTTCGAAGGACAGGTGCTGATGGACCACCGAGGGAGCAGGAACAGGAGTCCGGTGGAGCCAGGTGAGGAAGGCAATGCAGGGAGGTCTAGGCCCCTGGCTCTTCCCACCGGGCTGTGGGGGGATTCGGAAGGCAACTTCCTCCCAACAGCCGGGCCCCAGGGCTACTGTGGGGAGCCCTGTCGCGCCAAAGTGGCACTAACTGGAGCCCCCACAACTCTCACTCCCTTTTTCATAATCGCCTGATTTACCTAAAACACGGGAGATGACAGCAATGATGTTTTTCAGCTAAAAAAAAAAAAAAAAGCTGACTTCTGCAAAAATGCATATAAGGGACTCACGTTATTCTTTGTATTTCTGTTATTAACATTTACCCCCAAATGCTGTGGTGCTTTACTTGTCCTGTGCATGCAATTTAGCTCCGTCTGAAGGTCCCATTAGGTTTTCTTCTTTCTCTTTTTCTGAGGCTAATTTAGACCGGCTTGTTTCAGCAGAAACCCTCGTGCTTCAGAACTGGCCGTGGCGTCGCGTGGGGGAGCTCGGAGAGCACATGTATTTATGATCCTGCGTGTGGGGTGAGCGGCACATTTCAAGGGACACAGGGGGCCAGTCGAAGGCAGGTTTCCCACACAAGGCTGCCCGGGCAGGACGGGTCGGGCCAGGAGGCTGCTGCAGGGAGCCCTGGGCCACTGCGCTGAAGGGTCGTGCCCTGCCCGGCCACGCTCCCTGACCCTTTCCATCAGCTCTGGCCTCACCACTGACTCCTGGGCTCGTCCATGACACCGGCACCCACCCCACTGGCTCCCTCTTCAGCTAAGAGCCCGCTCCCCATTTCTGCCTGACTTTCCGCTTTGTCTGACTCTGTTCTGTGTCCCTTGTTCCTTTCCCATGAATTTCAAGCACGGACCGTCCCGCCTGTTTCTTGGCCAACCCCTTGGCATGGCCCTTTTGACCAGCGGCCCACTGGCTGGAAGCCTGGGCCTGTGCGAGCTGCGGCTGCCTCGGAAGGGACCTAGAGGACGCTGTGCAGTTTCTCTCTTGGCTTCGGATCCAGGGATGGGGCCCTGGAAGCTGAGGACAGGGGACGGCCACCCCCTTTCTCTCGACATCTGCGCCTCAGTCTAGCGGTGCTGGAGAGCAGCTAGTGAGAGTGATCCGCTCTGCTGGCTGCATAAGGCAACCCCGTCAACAAACACCCTCCCAGGAGAAAGTCAAACCCAAGCGTTTCCAGGCGAGGAAATGTTAGAGGGGCTTCAGCCTTCAGCACGGACGAAGTGGTAGAAACACCAGTCTGGGAGCATGTGACGGGGGGTGGATGGGGGGTGGACACTGGATTCCAAGCTCAATGTTTAGAAAGAAGCATTCAGCTCAAGTCTGGGCTGAGCCCGAGGGAGACTGATCAGCGTGGATAGGATTTCAGGGCGAGGATAGGACGTGACCAGGCACATAGACAGACAGAGATAGAGACGGTCCTATAAATCTTGTCCCAATTATCTCACGTCTTCCGATATGGTGTTCTTCAATCCTATGCTGATAGTTGATAATGTCAGGCTTGGTTATTTTGGTAAAGAGGCATCCCCCCCCCCCC